ATGGGCTCTTTTCTGAAATGTAACCACCACAGAGTGAAGCCATGAGGTTGATCTTATGTCTAACAGAGTTTAGGAGAGGCTGAGAGAAGGACAGGGTTGTGTGACCTTCAGAAAACAGAATTAATTCAAGATTATTTTTTCATTCACAGCTATCTTCAGTGTAATTAAACTGTGATTGAAAGGACACCAAGAAGTGATATAATACCTAAAGTCTATCACTGAAAAAAGTACCTCTCCTGGTGGCTACTGAACTTCGGTGAGACAGGCCACAAACACCAGCTAGGAGCTAGCTATGGCATGGAATTGAAAATTAAACCGTAAAACTGAGAGTCTTCAAATAATAATGAAGAGGGCATTTGGGATGCACAAGCATACCATAGGTGCAGAGCAAGGGCTTCAAAAGTCCTTGGAGAACATTTCTTGGACTGTATAGAGAAGAAAAGGCACTTTTTCTGTACCCTGCACACTGATATTTAAGAACACTGATTTTGTTGAACATTTTCCAAAGCACTTCAATTTCTTTCCTATCGAGAAAGAAATGTAGTTTAAAAGGACTCCTCAGCTGTAAATGCCTTCTTACAAAGAGATTTAAAATTTAATCTTTTAGGAGGGAAAAAAATTACGCTTTTTAGCCTCTGAAGTTTCTTTCTAAATCAGAGTGCTGGACCTCCAAATGGAGCTCGTGGAGCTCAGATTTGTACTCGCTGCTGAGCAGCAAATGCCAGCAAGGTCATGCATTTTGTCAGGCCCTCATGGCAAAGAACAACCTATTAGAAAAGTTGGGAAGGTCAAATGTGACATGATGAAATATTTTTTGCAGCCACAAAGCTTCTCTGTAGCCCCGTGCTGGGGGTCAGACACGCCGGGGTGTGCTCGGCGGGGATGGAGCTCGTGGAATGCACTCGGAGACGGTCTCGGCCAATCTTGGCTCCGCGGGGAACTGCAAGTCCCCTTCCGTTGTGCCTAATGAATAATAGATATGATGAAATACGTGTTTAAAAAACCTGATCATGCTCTGCACCTCGGGGTGGCCAGCCCAGAGGTCGGGTTCAGCTGCTTCACCTGTTTGTTTGACTGCCAGCAAGGCATGCCCTGACCCTCCCTGCCTCAGGCAGCTGGGATGCTGCTGCTGCTGCTGCGTTTTGTGTCTCTAAGCTGCTTCTCTTTCCCTGTGCTTGGGCTTTTCAAAATGCTTCGAACCTTTTGCAGAAGGGAAATAACAGCTTCTTGCCACAAGCTTGTGTAAGTTCCTACAAAGCTCCTGGTACCGTATAATCATAGAATCATAGAATGTTTGGTTTGGAATGGATGTTAAAGACCATCTAGTCCCAACTTCCCTGCAGGGGCACCTTCCACTAGACCAGGTTGCTCAGAACCCCATCCAACCTGGCCTTGACACTCACAGGGATGGGGCAGCCACAGCTTCTCTGGGCAGCCTGTGCCAGGGCCTCACCACCCTCACAGGGAAGAATCATACGAGTCTTACAGAGAGAGCTTATTTCACTAAAAAAGCTACATAAGCAGGGCCACAAAAATCTTGCATGTGGCTTTGATTTTTCTGCAGAACCACAGTCTCAGTACAGCCCTGACCATGGCTGAGTTACAGGCTCAGCAATAAGGGAGCATGTTATGATGCAGCTACACTATGAATCTGGAGTCCCACCCAGCTTATTGCTGCACTGATGAATTGCATTAGCTGAGCTGTTTCTTGGAGATCTGTACTCAAAGCAGATTCTATTTCAACACAAAGACCACCAGTCACTGTGGCAGTGGTCTGTGCTGCTGCTCTGCTAAATGTTTCACAAGTGACACTGTTACAAGGATCTACCTGCCTTCTTACCTGCAGTCTTGTCTCTGACATGACCAAGGAGGTTTCCACCCTGTGCCTCACCATCCTGGTCAGGTTCTTGCTAGGAGTCCTGATTGGCTTTGGGTGTAAAAACTAGGATGTCTGGACAGTAAAACAAATCAAGAGCTTTTAACAGTGTAAAACATTTTGAGTTTGTTGCCAGCCAGAACTCCGCATGTTTAATTAAGGTGTGTGAGCTTGAAGGAGGCTAATCTTTGCTGCTGAGGCTAATTTTTGCTGGTTTATTAGGTAATACAGAAAAAGACAGATTGAGACTCCTTCCCCCCTCCCACCCCCCCTGTTTTCTTTTTCTTGTCACCAGCATTTGGGGGTGGGGGGAGATAAAATCCCTTCACATGAAATCATCCTAATGAAGCACCAGAACCAGTACAATTAACCAGAGGCACAGCTGTGCACCTCGCTGTGCATGCCTCGGTCCCACTCTCCATTTCCTCCATGAGGATATTTCCAGAGTGACTGTTTGGGCTAAAGTTCATAATTAAAGCTGTAAATCTTGGCTCACTGCTAAATTTGCCTGCACAGAGAGAGAGAGGGGGAAGGAAAAGGAGGAGAGTCCATCTCCCCCCTGGGAAGCCTTGTTTACTAGTATTTTGTGGGTTTTCTTATGCTAGTGGTGCTTATCAGGCTTGCAAAGAGGCAGGTACTGAGAGCACCCCAATACAGAGAATTTTTGGGGGCCTGGCAACTATCAGCAATGCTGGCTCGTTTCCCTTTTGCAGGAGAGCCCCACAACACAGACACATCAGTGGAGCCAGACCTTCACACAGAGTTCCCACACTGGCAGTGAGATTTGAGGATTGATCAGGGACGTCCTGATGCCACAGAGCACAGATGAAAGCCTCAAAGTGAAACACTGAGCAATGAATCATCCCCACTGCTGCCTGTACAGCAGCGCCCTGGGAAGAGCAGGGCAGCAGTGGGTCCCCAGGAAAGACCTTAGGAGGTCATTGGATACCCATGAATGTTTGTAGTTTAATTCCAGTGAGCAATCTGCTGCCTGTAATTAATAGCTGCAGATGCATGCGTTTGCAGCAGAAAACTGGTGAGCAAATCTCTGCTTTCTTAGTTCTGCAGCATGTGCTGGTATGAGACAGAGAGCACAGCTCCTGCCAGGCACAGCCCCACTTTCCCAGCTGTAACCTGCCACATTCCCAGGCAAAGCTCTCTCAGCCCTGCAAATCCTCGTCTGGAAGCATCTTGACATGCCCTAGTTATGGACAAAATGGAGTGCCACAGCAAAAACTAGTGGAGTGTTTACCACATTTGAGGTTATAACACATTTCCTGATAGACCACCTGAATTTTAGATTCTTTTTTTCCCCCCAGAGGAAATGGCATATCTAATTTACCAGAAACTATGATCCTTTCTCACACACTTCTGATAGGGCTGCTTATATGCAAATTCCTCCTTATCGCTTGTCCATAATCTGTCTAAATGTGGCAGAATAAGGTTTTATTAACAATATTTGCATGCCCATGGCACAGGGCTGAGTCATCGCTTGCAGTACACAAAGCAAGACAAAGCAGTAGAGCATGTCTATTAATAAACATGATAAATCCATACCTTTGTGAGTAAAAGTTGCACATCTCTGCTGAAGAGACAGCCCTTTGTTGAAATAGTGATTTATTGCTATTAAATTTGTGTGATTAGCCAAGCTTGGAAAGCAGACCCAGAAAATCTCACGGCTGCCTACTCACATGATGAGTTTCACCAAGCATGGAAATGCAGGAACATTTTATCAAGTCAGAACTTCAGAGGAAAACATTTAATTCCAGGGTCAGTTCCTGATGATATGGTTGTGGATTTTCAGTCACAAAATTACTACATGATTTATAATGAAGTTTATATTTGAAATGCTAAAAGATTCACACACACACACCCCAAAAAAAGAAAGTCAGGAGAAAGGCTGTGATAAAGCCAAATTATATGGCATCAATCAGCCATCTGTTGTGCACTGTGGTTTCTAATGATCAAGGTGGAAACTTTGCTAGGCTGTAAAAATAGAGACTTACAAGATCCACTCTCTGTGCAGTTGATGCTTTCAGCAGTGACAACAGGATATAATATACACTGGAATTACCACTGAGTTCAGTTGCATCATCAGCAAACCTGAGCACCTGATGGCCAGGGTGGGACATTCAGCCAGGACACGTCATTATCTGTGGATGCACCAAGTAGGGCTTCGTCATGAAGATCTGATGAATTTTGGAAAGGAAGGGAGAATCCCCTACAGTAGTGTGAAAATCCACCTCCTCTGAATGACTCCACGGAGCCCTGGAGTGTTCCATGTGCTCTCTGGTAATTTTTATGTAATTAGTAAATGAACTTTCATTTGGAGATGGTCCTTTATGTGACCACCCACCCTTTGCTAGCTCATTTTTTTTATCTCAAATATCTCAATAACAGAATGAGTCCATCAAACTTATCATTCATTAAAAGTCACTGAAATCTTTTTGAGTGGTTACCTCTGTGCTGTGCATCGATTTTAAAAGGCTCTAAATGCAATGTTTTCTTTACTTTTCCTCCTATAGGATATTTTCCTCGTCATTTGTGCCAAATCAGAAGAAAATTTGATTTGATTTTACAAAGTGGTTGCTCTCACTGTGTCTTCTCACTGGGGCTGAGCTCATCATTATGGTCTCTTCTTTTGAACTGATCACCAAGGTGATTTGGCCATGGAGGAGTGAGGCCCCTCAAGCTTCAGAGAAAAGAGCCAGGGCTTGTTAGGTCATAATTAGCATCTCAGACTTTTGTCGTCTCCTTTACACCAATGTAGGAGCAGGGAGACACAAACTCTGCAGTAATTACCCACATACGTGGTCAGACAAGGAGCAAAGGAGAGTTTTTTGTGAACATAACTGATTAAATCCTGGCAGGAAGCTGCCAGCCAGAGCCCTGCAAGAGGATGCTCCTTGTGCCAATGCCTCTGCTTGAAAGCAGATTGCAAAGCATACATCTGAACCCACAGCTCTGTGACAGAGTCAGGGTTTGGCTGCAGCTAGGAGAGATTGCAGTCATGGGGTGCTAAGCTTGGGGTGCTGGGCTCAGCATCTGCACCATTGCCTGAAAAATAACAGACTGCTACTGGTGGAGCCCATGATATTGCAAAGGCTCTACAGTATCCAGCCTCGTCTACAGCTGGTGAAGGTAGGGATCAAGACTGAGGGGTCTTTACTATCTGTCCCTCCCCAGGACCTGCTGGACCCACTGGCCAGCATCAGCCAAGCTGAAGAGCAGTGCCAAAGAATGTAGGTCTTAGGCAGAGCAGAGTGACCCAGGCTACTGCAACAGGAGCCACCACAGCAGGAGGTCAGCAATTTTCTGCTTCATTTGGCTTGGGCACAAGCAAAGGAGTGTGGGCTGCTGGCCAGGAAGGGAGCACATCCCAGCTGACACAGGCAACCAGCCTGGCCCCGTGGAGGGTAGGGGATGGGGGAGCTGAGGGTTACCAGGGTGCTGGGCAGAGGCTGTACTGATCCCACTGCTCGTGGGCTGATGTACCCTGGGGCTGGGGTGAAATCCAACATGCACAGCATGCAACACGGTAATCCCAAAACTCAGCTTGGAGGAAGAGCTGAGGATGGATGCTGTGCTGGAAGAAAAAGAGAGGCAGTTGCTGTTTGATCAGTGCAGTGCCCCAGGCTCCTGTCCCTGCAGCGTGCTTTGATTTCATCCTTGTTTCTCCCAATACTCTCCTACACAGGAGAAATTGGATAGCAGGGCAGCATAACTGTCTGGCTCTCTGCTCTGATCATTGCTGTCCTGCGCCTCAGCCTGCCCTGTCCTTTCCCCTTCACAGCATTCCAGATAAATGGCACCAAGAAGTCGAGCCTTACCTTGAGATGTGGTGAGATGGACAGGGACCTCTCCGTTTCTGTTGGTGTGGAAGAGCATCCTCCAGGTGCAGCATCCCAGAAGCTCAGCACTACAGAGCCAGTGACTGTTTGGAAAGCCTGCAAGATGTTAGATTAAAGGCAGATGCCCCAGGAACAAAGAGAGAGGTGAATGATTATATTACTACTTCAAAAGGAGCTGATTCTGCAACTAATTATCTGTTTTTCAGGTGACAGCTGATTTTTTTTTTTAATATACTCATGAAAGTGTTGCATTGCAAAGGCCCTGAAAATATATGCAGGGTTTGTGAGCTGGCAGAGAGAGGCTGCTCGAGGTGGGGTTTGCCAGTGAATGGTGCATCACAACCGCTGCACAGCAGTGCAGCAGGACACTGCACTGCTGCCATAAGTGCTGTCCTGAGCTGGATCAATCCTGAGTTTGGAGCACTGCTCAGACCGCCCTGTGTGCCCTGAGCTTTCTCCCGGTCTGCGATGGGGCTGTGCTCAGTCGCAGCCCGCCAGCTCCATGGCCAGCAAGCAGCTTATGACCAGAGGGCATGCTGGGTGCCTGCAGGAAAGCTGAGCTGATTTAGCTGTTTTCTAGCAACTAGCATTAATTTGGAGAAAGAAAATCCTCCCTGAAATCCAACCGTTATCCGGTGTGTGGGCCACAGAGCCAGTTAGCTGTGCAGCAGTGAAGCCCAGAGTGGTTCTGTGCAGCCTTGCAGAGTGGTCCTCCCTTCTGAATAACAGCACAGAGAGTCTCCCATCCAAAAGCCTTAATGATGGAGTTGTTTTTTTAATGGTCCCCTGCACAGCCATTAGTTCTTAAAGAGGATTTACATCACAGCAAGCTCCTGTGAAGATATTTTATTGGTATAGTAAATACAGAGAGAGGAATGGTGGCTTTTAGTCTTTGATTGCTTGTGATTTCCTACCCCATAATTCACAACCCTCTGTGTCAGAGGCTAAAATCTATCCTATATGGGTATGCTCTGAGGTGTCCCCTCACTTGGCCACTCCAAACCAATGCTTAGGTGCTTCCCACCCTTGCTTTCTGAGTCTCCTGCTTCGGGCTCGGTGATGGAAGAACACCTGGCTGCGTGGGGATGTATTCAGGCACAACATCCCACAGCAAGTGGGCCAGGAGTGCTGCCAGCTCATATTAGATGGCCATGACGTCACTAAGAGCAGTGCAGCAGCGTATGGGCTTTTCTCCCTGCCCAGCCTCTGTGGCCATCCTTTGGCACCTCAGGCAGAAAACTTGGCCCAGGCTGTTTATCAGTGTGTGATGGGAAGCTGAGGGAGGGTCCAAAGTCGTTTCCCTTCTCCCAGGGTATATCCACAGAGACTCTGGACCTGGGATCACTGGAGAGAGTCAGTGCCAAGCCTGCAGTGCCTCAGAGCAGCAGTAGAACGCTTCACAAATGATCCACAAACACTGCACAGATGAGGGAAAGGCTGAAAGCAGAAGAGCTGCAGAAAAATGTCCGTTGTGTCTGCCCACTGAGGTGTGAGCCATTAGAATTACACAGGATGTTGTTTTCCTTCTTGCAAGTCATGCCTGAAATCTGGTCTCATAAATGAGCTTGTTTTTATTAGAGGGAACTCGTCTTTACTGGGTTATAAATCTGAACCTGAATGTTAATTTTATAACCCTGCATCTAGAGAACAGCAGAAACACAAACACCCCAATCCAGGTAGCACGGCCAAAAGCACAGACACCGTGTCCGAGTGTGGTTCTGAGGAATTCCAAGCAGGACACGAGTGCTGCCTCCTCTGTCCCCAGTGGGCTGCTCTGGATCCAGTGGAGGTGAGCAGGACGTGCCTGGCAGAGCTCACAGCTTACGTGAGTTAAACAGTGATAAAGAATCAGTAGGATTAGGTGTTGTTATCCCATAGTTCAGGCATTTTTGGAAAATTCCTGCGGCACTTGCTGAGGGCCCAGGTTCTGGCAGTAGGGGAGGTTATGTCTCATGTTCCTCTCTGCTCTGGCAGAATCAGCTGTAGCTACTGAGCTGCTGGGTTTGGGCATGGAGTGCTGTGCATGGCCCTGTACTGAGCACCATCCCACTCTGGGAACGTGCCTGGCGAGGCTGCAGGAGAGGCTGATGCCTCACTGGTCTCTGACAACTTGTTTCCTCGTGAACAAATTAAGTGGCTCATCTCCTGAATTATTTGCTTGGAACCTTTTCTTTGGTGCAGAGAGGCTCTGGCTGTATAAACCAAGAAGAAAATTATGTGATGTCAGGGTACTGCAAATAGCACAGTCTTGCCCAGAATAGAAGCTCTCGGAGGCTTCTTGCCTACCTTGCTGAGAGAAGTGATTTCAAGTGTAGTAGGCTACCCTGTGCCCAGTGCTCAAATTACAGCTGAGTCTACACTAGAAACTCCTCCTGGGGAAGCATTAAGTGTTAAGAATTTAAATTTTTTGGCCAACACTTCTTTGCTGGCCAGAGAAATTCTATGCTGGCGTAGCTGCCTTCACATGACTTGTGCTGATTTAGAAACGTCATGAAAACTGGTATCCCTAAGGAGCATGGCTGTGCTGTTAGAACTTTTATCTGTAACTCAGTCCTGGAGATAATCTGTGACTGTAACTTGCAGAGGACAAACGAGAGAAGCAAGAGGAATACAAGAAATGGCGCGCGATATATGAAAAATACTAAAAGGACTCTCACCTAATAACACGGACGTTTGCAGGCAGTTTAAGCCTGATTCGTAAATGAATAGAATGTTCTGTAGTCGTTTGACTAATGTTTATGATGTTTACTGTTAATGCATGCTTTTTAATGTTTGTACCCCAGTTATATTTGTTCTATTCTATTGGGACATGTATGAACATGTTAGTCCCCTCATGAATTTTCTCCTCCCTGATTGGTCAAGGTTTCCCTCTCCCTCATTGGCCAGGATTGGCCACAGTGTGGGCAGTCCTGCCATTTCCCTCCTTCCATGTTATTGGCTCCTAGTTAATTTATGCATGTTGCTGAATGCCCATTGGTTGTTTAGTCCCATGCTCCTCCCAGTTTCCAGATCCTTCCAGCCCAAACCCTATATAAGGGTTAGCTCGCCCCTCAGTCAGGGACAGTGTCCTTGGCTCTGTACCCTCATGTGTCCCTGTGTTAATAAACACCTACGACAGAGCAAGAACCCCTCGTGCTGTCATCGCCTCTCCTTTCACTGGGCTGCAGCAGTAATTGGAGTCAGTGTGTTTTTCCTGGTAAGTGTTTTTTTCCTGGTGTAGTTTATGTCATTTCTTTGAATAAACTAAGTCATAATTTCAGACTTACCTTGGCAAAGCTTTTCAGTGCAGACAAGACCTATGTGTTGATTAAGAACAGATACACAGGCATGCAACACTGGTGTTAGAAAGGTATTTTTGTGATGAATGTTAAGGATGCTGATTAACTCTCCTCTGACGAGTGTTAAAGCTGTGAAGCGAGCTGACCCTGTGTCAGGCAGGTACCTCAGCAGATGCTGCAGATCAAAGGGAGGAGCAGAGCTGTTCAGTGGTTTCATTACTGACCGTGGCAGGCAGCAAAGTCCTGCCTTGTCCCATATGGAAAGTGGCTCAGCCATTAAACAGGATACAGACTTGTAGTTGCTCTGTCTGTTGGTAATTATTTCCAAGGTTGGTTTAAAGAAACAGCTGACTGAAGTGGTGTTGGTTCTTTTGAGATTTGCTTAGGGAAAGTAAAATTTGATGCAATCACTGCAGATGGGAGCCAAGACAGAAATGGCTCTAAGCAAAGGCACAGTTTTGAATTCCAAAAGCAGCCTGAGGAGTATAGATATAAGGCAGAGACTGTGGCAACCTGATCCTCCTTCACTCTGTTCAGAGTAAGTACTCTTACGGTTTTCAAGGAGATTAAGATTATCTAGAGAAGATGGATCCCTGGAAGTGTTCAAGGCCAGATTGGGTGGGGCTTCAAGCAACCTGGTCTAGTGATTGACAACCCTGCCCATGACAGGGGGGTTGGAACTAGTTGGTCTCTAAGGTCACTTCCAACCCAAACCATTCTATGATTGTCTGATCAGGTGTCTGAGGTGTTTTCACCAGGACAGCTTGTTCCTTCTGCACTGTGTGTGCTTGTGTTGCTCTCTTGCAGACCTGGGGCAGCTCGTACATTGGGTGCCAGGCTGGCACTCACTATCGCTCTGGGTGAAGAACCTTTTCCTGATATCTAACCTAAACCTCCCCTGACTCAACTTCAGGCTGTTCTCTCGGGTCCTGTCACTGGTCACCACAGAGAAGAGATCAGTGCCTGCCCCTCCTCTGCAGTGAGGTTGTAGTTATCTGGGGAATGTGTCACTCAGATACTCTAAAGGTTTGATTTTTTTGCTTGCGTTATAATAGGACAGACTCGAAGCTTCAAAGCTGTTTTCACCACTTGAATGTGCAGTGAGGAAGATAATCTTTTTCCCACTAATGTGTCCCTTATTGCCCAGAACTGTGCGTTCTTCCAAGGTGTGTTGGTCAGTCCAGCTGGTCTTGTAGGGCACTTTGTTTTTGGCTTTGAAGGCCTGGGCAAAGGTGCTGAACTCAGCCTGGAGAGAATGGTCTGAATGTCCTAGAGACCCGTCTACCACTATGATTATGTAACTCACCTCAGAAACCCAGGATAAATGATTTACACTTCCATTTAGAGCCTATTTGTATCTTCTCATCCAGAGGCCGCCTAAACCGCCTCCTTCCCCATCTGCACTTCAAATGTCTCAGAATGGAAAAGTGTGTGGAGCAGGATCTTACTCCCAAGACAGCCCTGAAAGCCATCTTAAATTATGGTCCTTGCATGAAAAATGAGTCACTAAGAACCACAACATACTCTGCCTTCTTTTAAGTCAAGTTTTCATAGTCTGGGTTGTTTGTTTTGGTTGTTTGGGTTTTTTTTTAATTTTATCTTGATATTTAATATGCTCTTACTAAAATTATTTCCCTTTAAAACACTGTTTGTGCTCATCCACAGACTTCAAATATATTTGAGGGGAGAGGGTTGGAACAGATAACTGTTATCTGAATACCTCACATGTTAATAAAGTGTCAAGTACTTGGTATCTTTAGGTGGCATTTGCTTCTAAACCCTGCAGTCAAACCAGGGCTCCACCATCCAAGGCAAACATCACACCAGTCGCAGAGTGCCACGCAGCTGAGTGACCTCCACCATCCCCCAGTGCCTTCTCCTTGCTGGAGAGGGAAAGCAGCCATTCCAGCAGCACTCTGCAGGTGCCCAGTTCAGCCAGTGTTGCAACTTCTGCCATGGCTTGTAAAGGCAAGGGCCAAAAGTCACGGACTGGAGCCCGTTAGGAAAGCAGTCACACCCCCCTCTTCCTGAATCGGCCAGGTGGAGTCAGGGCAGGGGGGCAAGTGAAGTAATTCCTCCAGCCTCCCAGGAAGGGAGACTTGTGGTCCAGAAGTCCTATTTCCTGCTAGCCTGTTCCATGTGTAGCCACTGGGCCACATCATCCATGCATCCAAAATGTCTCCTGGGGGGCGGATGCTTCTCCAGGTTCAGCCGTCTGTTCTCAGCCCCCGTTGGCATAGAAACACCCTTTCCAATTAACCTTCTGCAAAATATACACATACAGAAACATTCTGCAAACAAATGATCCTCTCTTTTCTTACGGTCTCTCTTTTTCCCTTTTTTTTTTTTTTTTTTTTATTACCTTTTGGCCTGTGAGAATGAGGAGTCAGTAGAAGTGTGAATCTGGGTCTTTTTAATTTTAGAGCATTTCAGAGTCTCTGCAGGCTGTTGCCAGGCTGTGTAGCTGCTCCCCACCGATAGTAACAGGCAGACAAAATACTAAGCAATCAAATTTCCCCTCTCATTCAGCCCTGTCCTCCGCTGGTTTTAGAAGAAAGAATGAGAGCTGGGCCCAATAACTATGTAAATTGCTCAAAGCAGGAAACAATCAAGGGAGGATTAGTAAACCCCTGGCTTTTGAATGGTCAGGACAGATCCAATACAAAGGGAGCTGAATTGTTGCCAAATGCCCCATCCTTTTGGTAAGAGTGAGTCCTGCATACCTGTCATGGCCCATCAGCACCAGACTCTTGATGGGCTCATACAGCCTTTGCCAAAGCTGAAGGAGAAGGTGTCAAGGGCTGTCCTTAAATTGCTGAATTCAGAAGTTAGGAGGGCAATCCCCTGGGTTACCCATCTCCTCTTCTCCTCCTGCTCCTATCCCAGCCCATCACCAGGAGTAACCTTGACATTCCCCTGGAAATAAAGAGAATGTAGCAGAAAGGAAAATTTCTCAGCTACCAAGACTTTGCCTGAAACCCAGGATGGGAAGAGCTCCCACAGGTGAGCAAAGCTGTTTTACTGGAGGGAAGGAAGCAGATGAAGACTTTATCTTTCACCCCAGCATCACACAGCCCTGTTTGTTCCTGTATCACGTTGCTCACACAGCTCCTCTTTCAAGGGAAGGCTATTCCTGCTCCCAGGATGAATCTGG